TGGTTGCCCCTTGCATGCCCCCAGCTGGGGACCTGGGTCGCAACCCAGGCATGTGCCCTGACCGGGAATTGAACCAGTGACCTTTCAGTTCACAGGCCAGTGTTCAATCCACTGAACCACACCAGCCAGGACTGCATTTTTAATTCTTTAGATATGGTTTCTATTAGTTTTAAAAATATCTCTATAGTACCTGTTTTGAAGTCCTTTTCAGATAAGTCCAAAATCTTTAGCTCCCTCAGAGAGCATCTCCACTGACAAATCTTGTTCCTGTGTATAAGGCACACTTTCCTATTTCTTTGCATGTATTATTGAAAAATTGGCGTTGCAGGTTACACATTATATCAACTTTGGATTCTGTTCCTGCCCTGTGGATGGTTGTGGTGGCTAAATGTGTTGGTTAGTTTGTTTAGTGACTTTCCTGGACTAATTCTGGAGTGTGTTTCCCCCTCCGTGTGTGCGACTGCGGTCATCTTGTTGCTTAGAACTTGGCATTCCACCCCTACATCCTTGTTACCTCCCTGCAATTAGAAGATGGCATTTACCTCTATTCTATTTAGAGAATATGGGGAGTTTTGTGGAAGTGATGAAGCAAGAGAAAGGAATTCTGTAAATGTGTATATAATGTCCTGGCAAACCTGTAAGAGGTGCCTCTGTGAAAATGACCAGAAGCAACACAAGCAAAAGGTTTGAGAAGTGAACAGCAGTGTAGAACACTGAACAGGTTTCAGAAGTGGCCTGTGGATAGCACTCAAGTGAGGGAGACCAGAACTGCGCTGCAAAGGCTTGGAAAGCTAAATTCATAGCTGAGCTGCAGCCCCACCAAACACCAGGCCAGAGTATTTGTTACTGTACAAACCAACACAGGTTGACCACTATCTAAAATGGAAGCTTTAAAGAGGAAGCATTCATATAATACCCAAAATGTGTGAGACACAGTATAAACTAGCATAATTGTAATCTGTTAGATTCACAGTTTTGCCTTGTTTCCGTTCCCAGCTAGAAGTCTTCTCAGTAACTCCTGCTGCACATACTCAGTTTTAATTTCTTAGGGTTCAGAAAGGTTCATGGGAACAGAAGTCATAGCCGGGGGTCACTTCAGTGTGTGCAGATATCCACAAAAAAGAACACACCGTGGTTTACAACTAGTCCACTGCAGAGACGCAGGGCGCCCTGAGGCAGGTGCAGAACTGCTCGTGGTTGGCCAGTCCTGAGAGCTCAGTGCCCTGGGTGACTCATCAAGAATAATGTGCACAGAGGGGGGCCTTTTGTCCTGGAAAGATGGGTGGGGTCCACTTTTTAGGAACACACGCCAAGGGGTAGGGGTAGGAATCTGGAGAGTGATCAGTTTACTCTAGGTAAGGAATTTCTTCTGAGATGTCCACGTTGGAATGTAAACACAGTTACCCTCCTTAGAAGTCATTTAAATGAACTCAGCCCTTCAGTTGCCTTGATCCTCTGGGATGAAAGTTAGGCTTGTGACATGGGATTAAGGAGTCCAGTGGTGTTTTCATCAGCTCAAGCTACTATAATAAAGTAGCATAAAATGGGTGGCTTAAACGACAGGCATTTATTTCTCACAGCTCTGCAAGCTGGAAAGTCCGAAGTCAAGTTGGCAGCAGATTTGTTATCTGGTGAGGACCCACTTCCTGGTTTCAAGACCACCACCTCCTTGCTGTATCCTCCTATGGAGGAGAGAGAGGGAGAAGGCAAGCTCTCTGGTCTCTTTTTATAAGGCCAATAACCCATCATGTGCACCCACCCTTATGACCCTCTAAACCTATTTACCTCGCAAAGTCGCCATCATCACCTGGGGGTTAGGGTTTCAACACATGAATTTTGGGGAGACATATTTTAATCCATACCAGGTAGGCAGAATAATGTCCTCCCCACCGCCCTGAAATATCCATGACCTAGTCCCACGAACCTGTGAATGTTACCTGCCTAGAAAAAGGAACTTTGCCACTGTGATTGCATTTAAGGACACTGAATTGGGGAAATTATTCTGGATTATCTGGGTGGGCTGAATTTAATCATGTGAGTCTCGAAAAGTAGAGAAGCTTTCTTGGTTCTCAGAAAAGTGAATGAGACTACAAAGAATGGCCCAAGAGATGCAACATTGCCGGCTTTGAAGCTAGAGGAAGGAGACCATGACCCAAGGAATGCAGGAAGACTAGAGAAGCTAGAAAAGGCAAAAACAAACAAACAAACAAATAAACAAAATAACAGATTCTCCCCTAGAACTTCCAGAAAAGAACACATCAACAACTTTATTTTAGCTTGATGAAACCCATCTTGCACTTCTAACCTACAGAATGGTTAAGAAAATAAGGTTGTATTGTTCTAAGGCACTAATTTTGTATAAATTATTACAGTAGCAATAGTAGTTAAAATAAGTGCATTGGTGGATGTCCAGAGTCTTAACATCTCATGAGAATTTGTTGGGCTTCAGAAATTGACCATGCTCCTTTACCCAGAGCTATTTTTATAGGTCTTGTATTTTGGTGGAGATATGGAGATTGGGAAAACTTACTTAGTGACATTGATTTCAGGAAAAAGCATATTCCTGATAACATAGCCAAGACATTTAGGACAGGTGGTGGAGAATGAGGGGGAAAGAGTTACAATTCTGGAACTCCTTGCTGTGAAGGAATTTAAGAGTTTATCCTTACACATAGATCCAAATCTTCAGAGCAGAAACCCTCTGAGAACAAAGGGTGCGGCATTCCTTTCTCCCAGGTTCTCCAAACATGAATAGCTGGACCTCTGCCATCTGGGGGATTTGATGGAGGTTGAAGATGAAAGGCAAGCTATTTGTGGAGGCTATGGTGACACTGGGGGCAGGGGATTTACCACACCCACCAGATTAATTCTGGATTAAATTTGAATTTCCAGTCTGGCTTATAATATTCAGCATTTCTCATGTGCTTATTAGTCACGCATATGATAAGATACTTTAAGAAGTATCTTAATTGCCTTGACTGGTGTGGCTCAGTGGAATGGGTATGTACTGCAAACCCGAAGGTCTCTGGTTCGAATCCCAGCCGGGGCTAAGGACTGGGTTGCAGGCCAGGTCCCCAGTTGGCAGGGGGCACGTAAGAGGCAACCGAAAGATGTTTCTCTGGCATGTCAATGTTTCTCTCCTTCTCTCTCTCTCTCCCTCCAACTCTCTCTAAAAATAAATAAATAAAATCTTTTTAAAAAAAGTATCTTTATTAAAATCTTATACCCATTTCTATTGAGTTGTCATATTGAGTTTAAGAGTTCTTTTGATAGATTCTTTGTGAATTTTAGACATTTAATAGACATTTTGAACTGCATTTCCCCATTGATTCATGATGTTGATCATCTTGAATGCTCTTATTTACCACGTGTACACTTCCTTTGGTAAGATTTCTTTGTCCAAGTGTCTGTCTATTTACCTATCTCTACCAGTCTATGTTATTTTCATTCTCTTAACATCATTTATATATTTTTAAAATCACCCTTTTTTGTGCTTGATGCTTTTAACCTAACCCAAGTAAACCTAACCTAGGTAACCCAAGGTAACCTAAGTAAAAAATCTTTCCTAACCCAAAATCATGATAATTTTCCTCCTATGTCTTCTAGAAATGTTATAATTTTGGTTTGTATGTTTAGTGATTGATACATTTTGAATTAATTTATTTACAGTGTTAATTTAGGGTTGAAAATTTTTCTGTATAAATATTCACTGTTCCAGCTCCATATGTGTGGCAAGACTAGTATTCCCCACCTTGAGTTATCTTTTCATACTGTTGTACCATAGAGGTAGGTGTGGGGAGACTGAGCTCTCCAGTCCAGTCCATTGATATATATAAGTGTAAACTTTCTCAATACCACATGCTCTTTTTACTGTAACCTAATTATGTGATTCAAACTGCTGGTGTAGGTCTTCTATTATTTTTTAAATGATTTTAGCTAAAATATTTGCATTTTCATGTTTCCTCAAAAATTTGTGGTAGGGTTTTCATTGCAATTAGATTAAAACATAGACTTTTTTTAGTTTTCCAACCAATGATCAGAGTACCATCCTGATTTATTTAGATCTTGGCTCTTTCAGCAAAATTTTATATTCATCTGGATATAGGTATTGCATATATGTTGGTAACACTGTTTGATGTTTTTGATGCTGTTGTATACACTATCAAAAATTTTTAATGTCATTACTATTTAGTTGTAGACATTCTGATGTGTATGCGGAGGTATCTCTTGTGGTTTTAATTTGCATTTCTCCAGTGCCCTCGCCCAGCCAGAAGTGGCGCGCAGCAGCCGATGGACATTTTCCTCAGCCAACAAGACTCAGAAGGCTGGCAAGGCCACGACCATCTACAACCCTGTTAAACTTGAACTTCTAATCTTTATAGCTTGTACCACAAAGGCCTGTATTCGAAATGAGGTCGTTTGGGCTAACTCTCATCAGCCTGCACAGTATCTTCTCAAACTCACTCCCCCACGCCGTGAGGCTGTTCACTTGCTCAGGCTTTCTTTTACCTGGCTGAATTCCGAGAGACTCAGGAATACAGATACCCTCCTTCTGATAAGTACGCCTCCCGCTTTAGCAACCAAGTTCTATAGGCTAGCCAGGTTGCGCACGGCATCCCAATTGGAAGCGACGACTGTCCGTCAAACATTCTATTTAGGCCCAGATTCCTCTTCACCCTCCCTCCTCCCTCTGCCTTTCCTGGTGGATAAGGGAGGGTGAAGTTGCCTCACTTCTGGAGAAGCACGTTTATTGGTGGGGCACAGGTATCAATTATCACTTAGGCTGTGAACTTCCTCCAGTGAAGGGTGGAATTGGCTCGAGCCTTTAATTGGATCCGGAAAAATGTCAGTCAAGGGTTGGGCGGGTGTAACCACAATTCAACGCACAGTATTGGTAGATAGCAAACGCGAAGCCGGCTTCTCCTGATTGGGCGTTACGGAGGCAGTGCCGTACTCGTACTCCGGGTTGGCTGAACGTGAGCCGCGCCCCCTCACGCCGACGCCTCCAGTACCAGAAGTGGGCCTGGCTCGTCTAGGGGAGCCGGGCGAGACTCTACGGTGGAAAGGCGAGCACAGGGCCCTCGCTTAGTTCCCAAGCTTAGTTCCCAACCGGAGCCGACGTAGATTCAGGAGTAGTGCGCTCCTTCTCAACGGTGAGCGAAGGCCAGTGGGCGGAGGGAGAGAGGGGTCGGGTCCCACTGGGAGCGAAGGAAGCTCCGCACCGGGAAGTTCCTTTGGAGAGTCGTCTCACCCGGAAGTGTGGCAGGACCGCAGTCACACCCGGAAGTGTGGTGATACAGCGGCTACGGGAAGTGATGGGATGGTACCCGGCCCATTGAAATACCGGGTTAAAACAGGTGTTTATGTATCTTTATTTCCTGGGGCTCGGTAGAGCCTTCCGTTTCAGCAAGTGTTGGAGGATGCAAGTATTTGGTCGTATTTTTAAATGTCTCATCCAGTTGAAAACCGAGGGGAAACCGGCACTAGAAGTGTGTACCAGAAGGCTAAGCTCAGTGAAGGCGTTTAAGAAGCTTCTTTTGCTGCCCGTCACCCTCAGTTCCCCTCCCGCACAGGGATGTGCAGATGGAGGCCGGAGAAGACACTGCTGCCCCAGCCCCCGGGGACGCAGAGGACTTGGAGGACACGCAGTTTCCCAGTGAGGAAGCAGGAGACGGTGGAGGGGTTCACGAGGACCCAACAGATCTCGGAGATGGGAACCTGGAGGAAACAGGTACGCCTTTTCCTCACTAGTGTCTTTGAAAGAATTTATAGGGAGTGTCATTGTAGGAGGCGGTCAGTGAGGGATTACTGAAGAGTCTTTTGAGCCTAACAGGTTTGCATGTGGTCAGTAGGGGGTCATTGTTGACTCGCATTATAGGTTAAATCATCAAGGAATGAAAAGGAAATCAGTGGGCATCAGTGAATGTTCACTGGGAACGTGGAGTGAGTTTAGGTCTTTGGGATCAAAGAGGAGCGTTGGGGATCTAGGTTGTATAGGCATTGGCCAAAAGAAAGTTAATAGGGTCAAACGTGGACTATTCAGAAATCAGTTTCTTGGGGGCTAGGGTGTTGCTTAAGTCACTGAGATGGGGAAGAGGATCACTGGGAGCCAGTGGATACTCAGAGTGTTTATATCATTGAAGAGACAGTGGGGAGTTGTTGGTGGGAGCGTTTTAAGGAATCAGATGTTGATGGTGATCATTGGTGGGGAGGCAGTGGACATCAGTGAGATTATTTGGAGCATTAGAGGACCAGTAGGAGGGTGTTTAAAGACCTGAGTAAAAGTATTCTATAGAAATAAATGGGAATCATGGGGGCATTGCTCATTGACCACTTTGGAATTAGTGGATGTTACTGGGGTCACTGAGAAGGATCAATGAACATCTCTGAGACTAATTGGTAGTAGTTGGGGAGGGTGGTCTTTGAGAACTTGGGAATTATTGGCAAGTAATGGCAGATATTGGGAGGAGGTAATTGGTAATTGGGGCATCTGGGATCAGAGAATGAGAGAATGTGAAGTCATTGGAATTTTATGGGAAAATGGTTGCAACGTAGTTGCCAGTGGACAATAATGATTGTCTTTGGGAGATCAGTGGACAGCGACTGGAACAGATGGAAGGGGGGTCAAGGGAGTCGGTAGCAGGCATTGAAGTCATGGGTTTCATTGGTGATTGTTAATGATGATCATGGAAGGGCAATGGAGGTCATTATTAAAGTGCCATGTGCTGTTGTATATTATGCTATTGTAGGGAGAGGAGTGGATACCACTCAGTATAAAGGGGGGTCAGGAGAGTCCGTGGAGGTCACTGAAGTCCTGGGTGTCAGTGGAGATAAATAGTGATCTTTGGGGAGAAGGGAAAATAGAATAAAAGAGGGTCAGGGGAATCTGCAGAGGTAGCTGGAAGTCTTGAATATTAGTGGAGGTTAATAGTGTTCATGATGGGGATGGAATGGAAGTGAAGTGGAATAGATTGTGGATCAAGGCAGTCATTTCATCGAAGACCCAGGTATTGGTGATGTTAATGTGATTAGAATGTTGATGAACAGCAGTGGGAGTAAAGGAGGGCGAGGGTTAAGGGAGTCAAAGATCTGGGTGTTGGCAGATATTCATGGCAATCATTGGGAGAATTAGTGGTCACCATCAGTGATACAAATGGTGTTCAGGAGAGTCAATGGGGTCATTATGGATCAGTGGACATCAGTGAGAATAACTAAGGGGTTCAGTAATAGGGACAGGGGGCAGTCAAAGATCCAAATATTAATAGATATAATCGTGGCCATTATGTCTTTTGAGGGGTGAGTAAATATCAGGAGAATAATGAGGGGTCAGAGGTTATTAATGGGGGAACCACTGAAGGTGAAGGTTATTCAGAGGCGATGGGGTGCTTTGAAGACTTGAGCGTAGCAGTTATTGAAAGGGGAATAATTGGTCTCTAGGGACATAGAGGGTTTGATTATGACATTGGGAGATTAGATTATTGGGGCTTTAAGGGGATCATATGGCTACAATATTAGGGACCAAGGAGATACCTGGAGGTCTGTGTCAGCATCAGGGGTCATTAGGGGACTGGTAGGGATTTGATTTGGTGGGTCCTTGGGCACATGGGGTTGGTGGGAGTCCACAGGCAGATGACCCACCAGGGGCTCTCTTTCAGGATCCGGGACCAATGACAAGCCACCCAGCCTTCTGTCATCGCTGCCCGAGTCAGAGTCCCCTTCATGTAATTGTGAGCTCTGGGATCCTTCAGCCTCTGAGAATAGTCCCATGGGTGACCCTGAGAGTGGCTCTGGGGGCCAGGGCGGAGACCCCAGTGACGAGGACTGGCGCAGCAAGCGGAAGCACGTGTTTGTGCTGAGCGAGGCAGGCAAGCCCATCTACTCGAGGTATGGTAGTGTGGAGGCACTGTCAACCACCATGGGCGTGATGACAGCCCTCGTGTCCTTCGTGCAGAGTGCAGGAGATGCCATCCGCGCCATCTATGCTGGTGAGCAAAGGGGCAGGAGGCAGAACGGGGGTAGTGATGGGAATATGGATATGGCTAGTTGGCTGGCGGTAGGTCTGCCTGACTTCTGGGAGCACACTCTAGCCAGCCAGGTGTGGGTCAGTGTAAGTGGATGGCTGTCCAGAGTAGTGGGTATTGTGTCTATTTGTCAGTTTGGCCTGCTGAGTTCTGAGTGATTAACTGACTGGGATGTAAGTGACTAGCTGGATACTTCCTTGTTTATCTGACAGCATGATTTTGTGGGCTGTGTGGATGAGTTAGGTGTGTTTCTGGCCTTGTCAGTCCTTACGTCATCTTCCCCCACTTCATGCTGTATGTCTGACCTGAATCTTTGACAGTCCTATCATGTCTCTAAAATGTTCATACTTCCCCCATCCTGTCCTTACCCTAGTCCGAGTGTCCACAGTGGCCGCACAAGTTCTGGCCACATGTGTGTGTGTTCAGGGAAAGGGTGGACGAACCTCACCTGACCCCTCCAGTCACCACTGACTTATCTCTACCCCTGCCCATGCGTTCCCTCCTCTAGAGGACCACAAGCTGGTGTTCCTACAGCAGGGCCCACTGCTGCTGGTGGCTGTGTCAAGGACTCCTCAGTCAGCAGCCCAGCTTCGGAGGGAGCTGCTAGCTGTGCACGCACAGATCGTGAGCACACTGACCCGTGCAAGCGTGGCCCGCATCTTCGCCCGTAAGCAGAACTATGACCTCCGCCGCCTGCTGGCTGGCTCAGAGAGCACACTAGACCGGCTTCTGGACAGTGTGGAGCGAGACCCAGGTGCCCTGCTCTTGGGCGCCGTGCGCTGTGTGCCCCTTGCTCGCCCACTGCGGGAAGCACTGGGTGCACTGCTCCGACGTTGCACAGCACCTGGCCTGGCACTGTCCGTGCTGGCGGTGGGTGGTCAACTCGTGACAGCGGCCCAGGAGCGGAGTGTGCTGGCTGAGTGCCGGCTGGACCCAGCCGACCTGCAGTTGCTGCTCAACTGGGTCAGTGCCCCGGCCTTTGCAGCGGGGGAGGCGTGGGCACCTGTGTGCCTGCCCCGCTTCAACCCTGATGGTTTCTTCTACGCCTATGTGGCCCGCCTGGACACCATGCCTGTCTGCCTGCTGCTGCTTGGCACCGACCCTGAGGCCTTCCATGACATGGCCACCTGCCGGCGCCTGGTGGAAGACGGGATGCACAACCTTGGTGCAATGCGTACTCTTGGGGAGGCTGCCAGCTTCTCTAATGCCCCATCAGCCAATGCCCCTTCCTATAGTGTGCAGGCTGTGGGGGCACCTGGCCTCTGGCACTTCCTCTATAAGCCACTGGACATCCCTGACCATCACCGCCAGCTGCCCCAGTTTACCAGGTGGGTCCTGAGCCCGTGGACAGTTGGCAGGGCAGGAAGGTTTATCTAATCGGAAGGTTCAGCATCTCATAGACATGATTCCATAAGAGAGCCAGGCATGTGCTAGAAAGAAGGAATAGAATGGGTCTCTGACTGATGAGAGAAGCTTGACCCCCCTCAAGGAATCCCTTATTCTAATGGAGAATAGGGCCCTAGTACTCAAGGAGTCCCATAGTCTGATGGGGAAGCTGGGCCTCCAGCCATGGAGTTCCTCAAGTCTGATGGGGAAGGCTTAGTTCCCTAATTTAATGAACTCCCTTGACTGAAGGGAGATGGGCCAGCCAAGAAAGCCTTAGACTGACCTTGTCCCCTGCCTCCGTCCATCGCTGCAGCCCCGAGCTAGAGGCCCCATACAGCAGAGAGGAGGAACGGCAGCGCCTGTCGGACCTGTACCACCGCCTGCATGCACGCCTCCATAGCACCTCCCGGCCCCTGCGCCTCATCTACCATGTGGCTGAGAAGGAGACGCTGCTGGCCTGGGTGAGTTGGGTAGGGCCCTGAAGGGGTTAATTCTCTGCTTCAATACTTTTCCCCCTCCATTGTATTCTCCCAGGCATAACACACTCCATCCATCAACCACGCTATGCCTTTGCATGGGCTGTGTTTACTTTTGCCTTTAACACTGTCCCTGCCATTACACACCTGTCTTTGAAACCCATTAGGGTCAGTCACAGCGCCTACAAACCTCATTAGCTCCATCTTTCTGTTTGCTGTTCCCCCATTAGTAATCGGTACAGTGTCTTTGACTTTCAGGAGGCCCCATTAACCACCATCCCTGTGCCTGCTGATTTCCCATTTTCCCACTAGGCCCGCCCTTGTGTCTGCACCAGTTCAGTTTCGACTCCATGAGTCTCTCCCCAGCACTCCTTGAACACCATGCTAAGCCTTCCGCCTGGGATATCATTCCTGGGGTTTTTCAGGGCTCCTGTCCTCACTTCCTATGGGGCTATTAAAAGCCAGATATTCTGGGAGTTAGGTCAAGGTGACCCCACTGGGAATGGCACCTTCCCCCAGGCTCTGCCATTTAGTGCACATTTATTTAAATAATTTATTTGGTGCCTATTGTGTATCAGACATTGTTCTAGGCCAAGTACTTTATTTTAATTTTAATTTTTTAAACTTTAATTTTCAAGCAATTTTAGACTTACGAAGAAGTTGCAAAATAGTACAAAAAATTATTATAAATAATCCCATCACCCAGTTTCTCCAGATGTTAACCATAGTAACTTATCAAATCAGGGAATTAACATCAGTATAATAACATCTAATCCATAGATTTCATTCAGATTTCACCAGTTGTCCCACTAACAATGTTTTTTACTGGCCCAGAATCCAGTCCGGATTCACATGTTGAATTTCTTTATTGTGTCTTCCTAGTCTCATTTATTCTGGAACAGTTTCTCAGTCCTTTTTGTCTTTCATGACTGACCAGCCAGTTAGTTTTTAGAATGTCTCTCAACTTGTGTTTTTTTTTGGTATTTTATCATGACTAAATTGAGGTCATGCACGTTTGGAAAGAACATCACAGGAGTGGTACTGTACCCTTTTCCGCATCTCCTTGGGCAGCCCACAACGTCATTTTGTCCCATTGTTCGTGAGGTTCACTTTGATCATTTAGTTAAGGTGGTGTCTGCCAGATTTATCCACTTATAAATTTAGTATTTTTACCCTTTGTACAGTAATTACTGGCATGAGGTGATGCTGTTTTTCATTATACTTTCATCCACTAATTTTAAGATCCATTCATGATTCTTGCCTGCAACAGTTAATACCTTGTTTACTAGGTGGTGATTTTTCTAACCCTGTCATTCCTTCTATAGTTATTGTTTGAGATTCTATTGTCTCAGAGAACATTTCCTCTTCCCATATTTGTTTGTTGAATTTGTAATTTTATACATATATCAGTGTGGTCTCGTGGATTTTTCTTTAATTCAGTGGGCTAAAAACCTTTTTGCTCAAATCGTCTGTGGTTTAGCCAGCAGGAGCTTTGATTTGGACAGGCTGGCCCCTGTGTCATTTTGCTATGTCCCCGTCACTGCTGAAGCACTTCTTACTTTGTGGCACAAGGTGTTCCAAGTTCACCTTATACTTTGTCAGTCCATTCGTCCAAGCAGCCCTTTGACCCTTTAGCAAAGAATGGTATTTCAGCACCAAGCTGTGGTGGGCTGAAAATTGTAAATCAGGTGGTCAGGGCATACCTCAGCAGGGAGATGGCACCTGAGTGGTGGGGGGGGGGGGGGAGGGCGGAGGCTGACCATGTGGGTTTCTGAAGGAAGAGTACAGCTGGCAGAGGGAAGGACTGTGCACATGCTATGAGGTGAGACTGAGCCTGGTTTATGTTTCAGGAGTAGCAAGCAGAGGCTAGAGTGGCTGAAACAGAGAGAGTGAGGTGGGGAGTCATGAGAGGTGGTGTGGAAAAATAATGGTCATATTAAGTCTCTCACGTTGGTGTGAGGATAAATCAAATTAATCCTCTTATTACACTCAGGGTATAGATGATGAAAACATGGGTGTGTGGAGTTTAGAACAGGACCTTGTATACAACAATAGATGTTATACCCATTCTACAGAGGAGCAAACTGAGGTTCGCACATACAGCCCGATTCACCCAATTGAATCCACTAGATCTAAACTAAGAACCGCTGGCCCACTCAGGACTTAATAATACCAACTTAACCACTTTAGCCCAGTGACTGGGCAGCACCAGGTGGGTGCTGCTGCCAGGTGTGTCTTCCAAACAGGAGACAGGCATGTGCCTAGGGTCTGATGGACAGGATGGGGTATGGCCAGCTCAAACCCAACTGACTGTCTTCTCTCAAACCCACAGGTGACCTCCAAATTTGAGCTCTATACCTGCCTCAGCCCCCTGGTGACCAAGGCAGGTGCCATCTTGGTAGTGACCAAACTCCTGCGCTGGGTGAAGAAGGAGGAGGATCGGCTCTTCATCCGTTACCCACCCAAGTACTCCACACCCCCCGCAGCCTCATCTGCCTCCACAGACCAAGCGTCCCACAATGGCTTGTTCAGTGGACCGTGAGAGGCAGAACTCCCAGACTGGGCAGTGCTGGGCATGGCCACCATTGGCTTTTGCCTTCTTTCTCTACCCTGGAAATGGGCCAGGTGGGAGGGATGAAGCGTTCATGGTGGTGTCTGTGACTGGTTTCTCCCTGGGCAGTGGGGCAGGAGCGGAGGGCCTGCCCACGAATGAGAGGTGGTTGGCGGCATGGCTGCACACAGGCGAGCAGGCTGCTTCCCCAGCCCCCTCACGTACCCCCGACTGTGGGGAGGTCCTGCGGCCTCTTCCCCTCCCTCTGCCTCACTTCCTCCACTTGGATGATATTCCAGCCTCTGCCAGGGGCTTTCTCCTTCAGTCCTGGGCACCACCCCTCTGTCCTGCACCTGGAATTAACTTTGGTGGTGGGCTCTTAGCCCTGAGGGTCCTGGGCTGGCTGAGGTCTTTTGGGGTGGCCCACGGGGGATTCTGAGGTTGCGAACGCAGGGCCAGCCTGTGCCTGGAACTGGACTAAGGATACTTTAAAGAAAAGAACTGAAGAAAAAGGCCTGAACCACTCCCCATGAGGCCATTCCTTTGCCCTTCATATACTTCATCTTTACCCTGTCAAAAATGACCTCCATCAATGTCGGCTGCTGCTAATGTTAATGAGAAAGGTGGCCTCCACCGGCTGCCTGTCTGGTAACCCTTGACAAAGCCACTGACCTCATAGGGTGGATGAAATCCAGTTTTTTTACCCAGGAGGTGCACTTAGTTTCTGAGGCTTGTTCTGCACCTTCGTGAAACGGAGAAAACTCGCCTCTCACAGGCAGATAAGTCAGGATTTGGGTTCAATGGAAAGGGACTGGAACTCCTTTGTACCACCGCGTGACACATGCACAGTTCTCCCGGACTTGTGCACAACCTGCACTACTGGAGCAACCTGGAGAGGGAGGGACCTCCCTTGAGTTTGTGTCTGTTCTCCCAACACTCACTCCCCAGCCTTTTTAAGACCTCAGTTTTGCCCTTGTTTCCTCTAAACTGGAGTTAAAGGCGCATGCTCCTCACTGGATCAGAGGCTCCCTGAAACCTCTGCTCACACCCTGGTCAACTGAGAAGCCTACGCCCTGCACGCATGCGCGCTACAGAGCCTTCCTTGCGTGTGGGTTATTTTACCAATTGTCCAAGGCGCATGCGCCAGGTTCTTGCGTTGGGAAATGGCGGGGAAGTTGGAGCCCCTGGAGGTCTTGGAGGAGACCGAGGAGGGTAAAGACGATGAGGGTAAGCTGGCCTTCCCTGCCCAGGGCATATGGGCGATGTGGCTGCCCTATTCCAATAATGAAATATTGATAGCAGTGCTAAAAAAAAGAAAGTATAATTTTAAGCCTTTTGTGAAATAGGGTACTATATTGTGGAGATAACACGCTTAATTTCATGTGAATTAACTATTGTCAGCTTTATTGGACATATTACTTAGTATTTTAAAGTAAACTACTTCGGTGTGCATCTCCAGTCATCGAATGGAGGTGGAAAGTCTCGCAGAAACCACTCCAATGCTGCCACACCTGGGAAAATGAACGGTGATTGCCCAGTGTCACTTGACCCCCAGCACATACCACGCTGTGTGGGGGCTCCTAAATCTTAACGGCCACTCCCACAGACAGCCTTTCTCCAGGGCCTTTTGTAACGGTACCTGCTTCCTAGGGAGAGGGGAAAATTGCCTGCAGACAAGTGGGAATTGCAGTTTAGACAAAAGTAGAAAACCTCCCAAGACAGTGATCTGCTATTATGCCCCGATCATTATTTTAACTGTAGGAATTGTTTAAATGTACCGACACAGAAAGAATAGCATGATAAATGCTCATTCACCCATCGTTGTTTCAGTAGTTGTCAAGTTTTTGCCCTTTTTTCATCTATAACACCCTTTCCTGCATAGTCTTTAAACCATTGTACTGATACACATACTGGGTTGCCTTTTTCCAGGCCTATCTGTGCAGACGTCAACAATAGTGAGGATAGTTGTTTATTGTCCTAGGGTGTGAGCTCTGTGGAAGCCATTTATTGCTCTTTCCCCAACACTCAAACAATGGCTGCTTGGCATATAATAAGTGCTCAATAATTTTCTTTGTTTATTGTGTGAATAATAATACCATGAGCTCTCTTAGGTCAGGGCCACACATTGAACACCAGCTTTCAACAAAGGACAGGCACAAATGAGACATGCAAACAGAGCTCATTTATTAAGCACTTAGTATAGCTGCCACTGCTGCTAAAAAAACTTTTATTTTTAGTATCAAGTTGTCAAATTTGTCAAAATTGAAGTCATTAATTTCATCAGCAACACAAAATTTAAAAGCATATCAAGCTACCATTTCTAGCCATTAAAATTGGCTTGATAAAGGGAGGGATAACATCTAATATTGATTACTCTGGGGGAAAGACCATCTCGTCTCACTGGGAGAACTAACCAGGAAAGGCTTCGCGAGCGGCAGCTGGGCAGAACACTTTTAGCATCTAAAATACTATTCCGTATCTTCAGTCACCGTTCTCAGTAATGGGGAGGATACATGGGTATGTGGACCAGGAAAAGCCATTAGAGTGTTGTTGGTGGAAGAGAAAAAAAAAAAAAGGCAATCGTGGAAATGGCTAAATTCAGGGATTTTCATGCATATTGTGGAATACCTGTGTGGGGGGCTTTTTACTTTTTTCAGTAGCAGGAAAAAAATAATTAAATTGCAATTTAATTTAAAATAATTTTAAAAGGACAAGATGAGTATTTATTGACATAATGAACTCCAAGACATATTTTTATGAGGGGGGAAAAAAACAAGTTTGGATTTTAAAAAATAAAGGCAGCGTCAACTATAGGCCTGTGAGGGCTGCGCAGAAAACTATCTGAAGGTGGGAGGCCTAACTAGTGACTCTTAACAAGGAACTTGAATCTCGGGGGCTGTGCAAAAAAAACCAGAGGCATTTTTGTGATTTTTTTTCTTTTAGGAAAATATAATATCATTTTAAAATACGAGAAGGGGGAAATTTGGTATCTGAGGATCCTATGTTAATATTGATTGATATTGACACTAAACTCGGTTTTGATGGTTAGACTGTGGTTACCTGGTAGGTTCCCCTTGTGTAGAGGAAACACACACTGGAACGTTAAGGAATAAAGGGCCAAGACCCCTGCAATCTGTGGTACAGAAACGCTCACCAACGGGAAACCTGATATGAGGGCAAATAGGAGAACCGTGGTCTATTTCTACAACTTTTATGTACGTCTGAAATTATTTCAAAATAAAATGTTTAAAAGGGGATCATGTGCTCTAGGTTGTTTTTTAACATGGATTTAAAAAAAAATTATCAAGATGTTAGTTAGATTATTTAAAAGATTTACTGATTAGCCATGATCTTACCCCATGACTAGGGCTACAGATGCAGGGAGAGGAAGAACAGAGATGGAGCCTTCACAGAAATGGTTGTACAGTCCAGCTGTAAAAAACACAGGGACAGTCAGGGAAATCACACACGTTCTGGGTCCTGGATGATGCTAATAATCCATTGATTAGTGATGATTGTTAATATTGGTGTGATTTTAGGATTGGAGTCATCTAAGAAAATGTCTTCAAGTGGTGAGACTTAAGTATTTGGGGAAGTTTGGGTCTTGCTTGAAAATACTTGTTTCTTTCTGTCTGTCTGTTTCTGTCTCTCTCCATTGCTCTGTCTCTCTAAAAGCAATACATTTAAAAAAATACTTCACAGGAAAAATATAGCTGAGGCAAATGTGTATGAATATTAATGACTTTCAGATGCTGGCGATGAGTAAATCATTGATTATGGTAGTCCTACTTTTGTGTGCAATTGGAAAGTTTCATAATGAAATATTTAAAAACAATAACAAATATCTAATTATTATTAAAGTAGCTTTAACTTTTTGTTTAATTTCCAAATAGTAAGAGTATTTAAAAGTGTTGAAAGTCTCAAGAGGACACATGCCAGTCAATATCAGAGAGAGACACTGAGATTTGGGGCCAAGGAGAAAGAGGGAGGTTTCGTTTTTAACTTTATGTGTTCATGTAGTGGTTGATTGTTTTTTGAATGTTACTTGGATAAGAAAATAAAAATTAAATACATGAAATACATTTTACTGAGAGATCTGAGTGTCTTCACCAAACTGTCGGCATGGGTACTTCTGGAAAGGGGAGTGGCTTGGGAAAGGGGCTTTTGGTGAGGAGAGACTTTTACTTTTTATTCTAAGTTCTACATTTGTTTAATAAGTAATTTAAAAATTTAAATGCAAAGTTAGATTTATACATACTTATTTGTAAAAGATTTCAAGTAAGATAAAACATGTAAAGAAAAGGAACATACCACCAAATATGTCCCCCCAAATTAATAAACTCGGGTTAAGAACCCCTGGTTTGCAACATGATTTTTCATGGCTGCAGAGAATTTCATCCTACAATGTGCCATAATCAACTAAGGCATCTTTAGATTGCTTCTACCTTTTAAGATCACAAACAATGAAACAGTGAAATTCTCGCCTATCACCCTTAATTATTTCCTTAAGATAGAGTCCTAGAAGTTGAATTTCTGGTCCACGGAAGTAAGTTTTGGATATTTACTACCAGGAAGCCTGAAGTGAGCTACTGGTTGTGTCTATCAGATTGGCAAAAATGGAATAGGTTGAAAACATACTTGGCTGGTAAGAGTATGGGGAAGGAGGTTTTTTGGGGGACCTGCCAAAAACATGTGGAGGGGAATTCCATAATACCAGTCTAATTTAAAAATACATGTGCATTTGGATACAGCTGGTAGCCTTCTAGGAATTTATCCCATAATACACTGCCATGAGGGCACAAAGGAGAGTGTACAGGGTAAGTGTACCGAGTTGAACTGTGCCCCCTCCAAAATTTCATGAACACTGGAACCTCCAAATGTGACATTATTTGGAAATGGGGTCTTTGTAGCTATCCCTAGTTAAGGTGAGGTTATACTGCTTGAGGGTGGGCCCAGTCCAATGACTGGTGTCCTTACAAGAAGAGGGAAATTTGGACACCGGGAAAGAGAATGAAAGGTGAAAACACAGACAGACACAAAAGAAAGCCTCGGTCTGTGGCACTTTGCTTTGGCAGCCCAAGAAAACTAATGAAGATGGTCACTGCAGCATTGTTTGTAACAGCAAAAGAAGGGAAACAACCTAAATACCCACTAGTAGGGACTGCACTTAAGTTATGGCACATTCACTCAGTGGGCCAGTATGCAGCCACTGAAAAGACAAAAGATCACCAGTGTACACTGTCACGTGACAAATGCAAGCTGTGGAACATCATCTATGGTAGGATAAACCATTTATATAGAAAGAGTGGAAATAGGCTTGTATATGGATTGAATTATCTCCAAGTCTACAAAGAGAGCTTGTAACCCTCGTGACTCCTGAGGAGGGAAACTCAGGAACTTGGGGCCTAGGGGGAAGGGGCTTTTCACTGCGCACTACGTTTTGACTGCTGTGTGATTTGTGAGCTGCCTTTCACATTCTCTGCCCAGTTTTCCTTGGAGGTGGTAGGTCAGTGGGACTTGACCTTTTATCGGGGATTTCAAGAGTTTAAGATGTCAATCTTTTTTTCTGATTTTTGGGTTATCACACTAAAAGTAACACAGGTGCGTGCTAAGAATATATAGACGTATGTATGGTGAAAAGTGTGTCTGAATCAAGATGCAAATTAAGTCTGTTGTCCCGAGTCTCTTTTAATCATAGTTTTTCCTCTCCCTTTTTCTTCTTTGCAATTTGTTTGTCGAAGAAACAAGATTGTCCTGTGGAGTTTACCAGAGTCTTCTAATCCCCATGATCATATCCCCATGATATAATGTAACATGTTTCTCAGCTCCTTGTATTTGCTTTGAATTGATATTTAAATACAGAAACCTTGATTTCTTTTTTTTTTTATGTTTTTGGGGAGCGGGGGGAGTTGGCAAGAATCCTTCATAGGTGGTGTTATGTTCTTCCATCAAGAAACTCATTAGCTGGTTGTCTTTTTTTATTGTTAGAGTTCATTAGTAACTATTTTCTAGACTCATAAATTCTTTAAGAATCTGTCAATTGTGACCTACGATGATTTTGAAGAAATTCGTATGAAATCTGTCTACTCTAGTGCATTGATGAGAACTTCATACTGATTTTGAATAGTATCAGCAAAAGTGCTTCCCCTTCCCTCATTCTTGACCTTCCTTAAGGCATCTGACCTCTCAGGGAGAAGCTGACTGTAGGGGCCCTGATTCATCCAGCAACACCATGGACCTCAGGGACAGGGGACAGGGCCCTGCAGGGCCCCTGCTCTCGCTGGAAGCCTAGCCCTCAGCCCGTCTTTGCTTCCAGCCCAGGGGTGTCTGCAGAACCCATGGGACTTACCTCATCCCTTCCCATGTAAGCCTCGGTCCCTCTCCCTCTCCCTGGACCCTGCAATTCCGATTCCCATCTTACAGGGCAGACGAAGTCTTCGAAGACTGAAGACTTGCTGGCAATGGTGAAGAAGCTGCAGAAAGGTCATGTGTCTCCTTGTATCTGAGGCTGCCCCGGGGTTTTGAGTCAGGCAGAACCCTCAACTCACAACCTCAGGAAATTATCCCGTGGCGCTTTCTCCCTCAAACACAATGTATTCTCTGAACCAAACACGCAGCTTCAAAATTCAAGAAGTATAAGAAGATGGAAAACCTAGGATCTTACACACACACACACACACACACACACACACACACACACCCATCCATTTCCCTGACCCACAAACCAGCAACAATTATTTTTAAATTCTTGGGTATTTCTCCAGAGATTTTAAAAAATGCATTCATGGGGTTGTATTCTTTGTCTGCCCTCTTAGTATACAAATGGCAATACAAATATATTGACTCTAAGCCTTGCTTGGCTCATTGAGGAGCACCTGGTAGCCAGCCTACCTCAGGGCTGGGCAGAGTGCTGGCTGGGTTTGAGGCTGGACACACCACTCCCCCAGCCCATTCTCAGGTTAAATTCTACCGTCCATTGGTCTATTCCTGATGAAACAGAACCTCCCCCCTCACATCCGTGGTTGCCTGCAGAGGTGCGCTGGGGCTCCCGCCTCGGCTAAAATTAGAGAAATTGCAGACCCACCACCAGTAAAATAATCTCCCCTGGAGATTTGTCCATCATCATTAGCAACTTAGAAGCACCCACTGCTCTAGAAGTCACAGGAGCTGGAGTTGATGGCCTTGGAAAATCCAGGGCTTGGACCTAATTAAATCCAAAGTGTTTGGGGCTGGTAGTGAGACCCAGCAAGGGTTGGGAAGCTTTTTGCCCCAACTCTGTGCTGTCGATCTTGAAGCCAAGAGGGAAGAGGAAGAAGGCTTCTCTGTACAAAGTGCTGCTGTTGGGGCTGTGAGAAGGTAGAGATGAGTCCCCTGAAGAGACAGTCACCCTCCTGCCACTGGAGAACTTGAAAGCTGCCACCCACAACATTAAAGCTTCATTTTCTCCATGTCTCAAATAAGACAACACCAGAGTCCAGGTGGACAGGAGTGACAACTGCCCTGCCAGGCTTTTAACAGGCAGGTGGTCTTTGTTGGCTCCCACCACACTCAGAATGACATCTGGAAGCCTCCACCATGTCCCAGGAAGTCCTGAGTGGTCTGCACCCTCACTCCCTGCCCCCCTTGCCTCTTGCTGCTTTCCACTAGAAAGTAGCAAGACTCACACCGCCACACCAGCCCCTTCGCCATTGCTTTGGGCCTTGGCCTCACTCTCGCTGCAGGGACTATGCACTCATGCCTCTGCCTGACACAGCTCCTCCCTCTACACGCTCAACCCCTGCAAAACTGCAGGACTCCCTTCCCTCTCTTCATCTGGGGCCTTTCCATATTTCAAGAGGCACCTTCTACCCTTTCATCTTTAATCCCTTCTCAGCAGTTACCGCTCACCTGCATTGGTATCATACATCTTTGGGCAGTGTCCATCTCTCCCACCCAGCATGCCAACCCTGCAAGGGCCTCTTCCAGAGCCCAGCAGACAGCAGACATTCAGTAAATGTGTTGACGGATAGCAGCAGAGACACAGTGCCAACACCTACCCCCTCCGTGTGAACTGGACAGTCAGGCATCTGTCCTCTCTGGTTCAATCTTTCCTTCTGCAGAGGGAAGCCTGGAGCCACAGATAGAAGAACTGATTCATCGAATCAATGAGTTGCAGCAAGGTAAACTGGGACCTAGGCTGGCCAGCTGGCCATGAAGGCCCTGGACTTTGAATGCCTCTGCTTCCTCACCTGTAAAATCCAGGCCCCTCCAGGGTGTTTGAAGATGAGTGTGCAGTGTCACCGTCTGAGAGAGAACAGCATGGCTAGAGGCTGCATTCACATAGTGTCTTCTTTCACTTTTTGGCCCAGCAAAGAAGAAGTCCAGTGAGGAGTTGGGAGAAGCCCAAGCTCTCTGGGAGACCCTGCACAGGGAATTGGACTCTTGTAAGTGAGACCAAAAGAGGGACCCAGAGACCCCATGGCCACTGCTGGTGTCCTGTGCACAGATCAGGGTCTTTGCATGGGCTGCTCCCTCCACCTGCAGTGCTCTTGTTCGCTGCAGTCCAGAGTGCCTCTTGCCATGTCAAGTCATCTTTCAGCCCGTAGCTCAAGCTTCATCCAACAGGTCTACCTTGATGGTCCTGTGTGAAAATAGAATATCCCCTCTCTGTCATTCTCACTCTCCTGCTTCACTTGTTTCTTCATAGCCTTATTTTCATCTGACTCGGTGCATGTATTTATTGCTAGTCATCCCTTTCCTCGGTATAAACCTTGTGCATTCTGCAACACCTTTACTCCTTTGGCAATTACAGGGAATGTGGGCACCCAGGGGGAGGAGCTGGATCAGGTTGGTCCCCAGTGGGAGATGGGTGCAGGGTGGCAAGAACATACCTCCGCTGTCCTGGGGCTGTTCCAGACCTTCTGTGTGACCATGGGCATGCCCTTTGCATGAAGTTGCAGTGGGGCAGAGGACATAACCCCTTTCTTGGAGGCTCAGAGTGTCACTGTGTTTCCAGTGAATGGAGAGAAAGTGCACCTAGAGGAGGTCTTGAGTAAAAAGCAAGGTATTTTTTTTTCTCTGCTGTCTTCATTACACCCCATTACCCCACAAAAGCCCACAATCCCCAGAACAGCCAGAAGAACCCCACTGAAACCTGAGCCAGAGTGCCTCCCTTTCTGCTCAGATTTCTTCCTTGGCTGCCACCTGACTCGAAGTAAAAGCTAAAGTCCCCTTAGTGCCTCCAGTGCCCACCCCCTCCACCCAAACCTGACTCCCCAAGAGCTCTCATGTGGCCTTGGTTCCTCTCCACAGAAGCACTGAGGACCCTCCAACTGCACAGCCCGATGAAGTCAAGTGAGGATCAGAGGTAAGGGGTCCTGCCCAGCTCCTCCCAACCTCAGTCCCCAGCTTGAAGGAGGGCAAGCAAGAGCTAGGGGAAATAAATCTTGGACACATTCTCCTCATTTCCCGTTTTAATAATACAAATTAGCTAGACAAAAGACTTCTCTGCTCATCTCTGATACTAGATAGTGGTGGTAAGATGTTCTCGCTCATTTAACCATTCCCAGCTTCTTTATAAATTTCATCCACTGGTGTCCTTCCAAATCTTCCCCTATTCGTTATTCAGCTCTTCGGCCGTTGATTCATTTGTTTATCTGGCTCATTCAGGCTTCCCAACCACCCATTCACCCACCCTTCCACCTACCCACTCATCCGCCCGTCCATCCATTGATCCATGAACCCATCAATACGTCTGTCCTACTTGCCAGCCTTTCATCCAGCCAGCCTGCCAGACATCTCTCCAGCCCTCCGTGCACTCATCTATCAGTTTAGTCATTCATTTATCTTTTCTCCATCTTTCCAATCATCGTTCATCTAGTAGTTCATTTCTTCACCCAACCATCCACCCGAACACCTGTCCATCCTCCCATCGGTCCTTTCATTTCTCCACCCAGCCATCTCCCACCACCCATCATTTCTCTCACCAGTCATTATCCCTTTGGCCAGCCATTCATCCGTCTGGTTACCTGTCCATCCAACCACCCACCTCTCCATCATTTGAACCTTTACTTTACATGTTTTTGTGACCAGAGGGGTCACACCTTGGTTCACCGTGATTTTAATTGTGCAGGAAAACCTGATGGTGGTTTAAGTATGCATAGGCTTAACTACACCACATGTACAGTCTGATAAACAGTTCATGTTTATTTGCAAACATAACCCTCACAATGACAATTAAATGCATTAAGGTGTGATGCCATCCATCCATCATTACTACCGTTTTACATATGAGTAAACCGAGACCCAGAGAGGTTAAGTAACTTGTCCAGAATCACAGTAGAATAGCTGATCCAGGCTTTAAGCCAGGACTTTAGAATCTGTGACACTAAACTGCTCCCCTTATAAAGTTTTGTTCCAACCAAAGCCACTCCTCTATGGCTTCAATGTCTGCTCACTGCTCAGGTTCATCTACTGCTCAGGCCTGTTACTGGTTTGATGGACAGGGTGATGGTCTTGGCAGAGGCCCATAAAGTTTCACATTCGATCAATAGAAGAAAAGGCGAATGATGAAGGTTCTGAGCAGACCCACCCACCCCGAATGGCCTCTACTCCTGCTGGAGGGAGTGGGGGCGTCATTCCGAGAATATGATCGAGGTTGTCTTTCTCTTTCCTGGAAGCACATTTTGTAGGAGTTCAAGGACCAAACTTCCACCTGTAACTCTCAGATTGAAGAGAGTTGTAAACAGAGGAAGCTGGGGTAGCCGCTGGGGTACTCCAGGTCTAGGCCCTGGTGTGGTGCTGGGCGGGGAGTAAGAGTTTGTTGGAAGAGGAGCTACTGGAGCCAATGCCTGGAGGATGGAGCCCAGAAAGGGGCTCCCAGCAGAGGGAGCAGGAGGCAGAAATCCAAAGGCCTGGGCACAAGGAACCCCCGACTGGACTGGGCTGTGTGTTGGTCCTGGCAGGTGTCCTGTCATTCCTGGGTGTTGACCCCTAGGTTGCATGTGGAAGAACAGCTGGAGGATTTGATGGGCCAGCACAAGGACCTCTGGGAATTCCAGGTGAGCCCTCGCCGTGGCCTCCAACCGAAGGCCCTCCTCGCCTGGTTCCAGCGTCTCCGCTGGCTGCTCAGGTCCACCTCCTGCTCAGGCCCAACTTCCTGAAATAGCCCTTGACTCCGTCAGTCTTTTTGCCCATCCTCCCAGTCCTTCAGCTTTCACCTTGAATCGGCCACCTCCTAGCACCCGTCACTGCCATGTGGTTGCCCAGACTGGTGCAGTGACCACTGCTGATCCTGCTTTCCTCCCACTCACCTAGAGTATGCTACCTTGCAGTGGCAAAGCTGTGCTCAGGTTAATCCTTCAACTAATGTCCCTGGATGCATTTTGCAGCATTGCAGGCACAAGGAGACAGTGGGGAGCCCTAGGGGTCAAGTGTTTGCCTGTCCCAGGATGGCTGGGAGCAGCGGGAGGCACAGCCAGACTCTAAATAATAAGTAAGATCATGTAATGGCATTTGCGGAAGGCCTCAGCAAATAACATCTGAGTGCAGACAGGAAGGAAGGAAGGAAGGGAGGAAGCCATGCAGGTGTCTGGGTGCAAATGTCCGTGGCAGAAGGAAAGGCCAAGGCAAAGGCCCTAAGGCTAATCCATGCCTGGAGCTTTTGAGGAAGAGCAAACTGGAGGGTGGGCAGGGAGGATGAGAAGATTTGAGAGGTAGGTGAGGACGTGGGGAGTGACTGCAAGGAACTGTGTCCCCACCAGCAATTAGTCGCAGCAGAAACTGTGCATTGAGTTAATAATAGTGGAATGAATGCATGACTTAATTCAAGTAAAGACTTTTTGAGAGGCGTGTGGGAGGAGGGGGCCGGGAGTACAGAACAGACAGATTTTCAGGCCTCTCTCCCCACAGATGCTGGAGCAGCGACTGGCCTGGGAGATCTGTGCCCTGCAGAGCAGCAAGGATCAGCTGCTCATCGAAGGTGGGACTCCAGCTTGGGGTGGGGGGCAAGGGAGCAGGGTCTGCTCTTGGGAGCTCCAGGGCCCGCCTGTGACTCCCCGCAACCCCAACACCCCCCGCAGAGAACTCCCTGCGAGCCAAGCTGGATCTGGTGGGACAGAGGCTGCGCTCGCTGCCGCTGCCGGTGGTCGAGGGTGAGGGCCCCGTGGCAGCGAAGGAAGGGTGAGACGGCAATGGGGGCTTTGGCGAGGGGGAAGGGGTGCGGAGGAAGAGAATGGGCCTTTGCTCCCCGCAGCACCACCCCCACCCCAGAAGGGCAGGCTCTGGGGCTGGTAGGCGGGGCCATAGCAGGTGGGGTCGCCTTGTCTCAGTGGCTTCCTGCTGGACTCCCTCGACTCTTGGTCTCTTCTCCCTCCTCTTCTCTCCTCTGCCCCTTCTCTGCAGGCCGAAGGCGGAGCTGGAGAAATTCGGGGAGCAAGTTCCCACCCATACCCAGGGCAGCTCAGAGGACGGGGCCGACAGAGGAGAGGTCGGGAGCCAGGGATGGAGGCACGGCGGGCAGAGAGGGAGACAGAGGGGGCGAGGATGTCCCCAGAGCCCCTCGGACAGAGGGTCCGAGGGGAGCAGGCCCCCTGCCCCACGCCGGGTGGTGCCGGTGACAGGGCAAAAGTAGCTGAGGGCCCGCAGCTTGACTCTCTGCGCCTGCCCGCCAGGAGGAGGAAGCACCCGGAGCCGCCAGTGGAGCTGGACTTGACGCCCCGCTAGTCCAGTAGGACCCACCTGGTCCCCAGTGAACTTCGACGCCCGCCAAGAAATAAAGGCAGTGATTTCAGAGGGTCCTCCACCCGCTCAGCTTAGTCTGTGTTGCGGGAGTGGGGCTGGTGGAGAGGGGTGGGGCCGATGCAGGGGGCGGGGCTCCAGGCACTCTGGGTGGGACCTCCGCTGGACCCCACCCCCCAGGCCCTGGCTGGCTCTCCCTCAGGATGGATGCTGTCAGTGTTCCTGTCAGTGAATCACTGTCCAGTGACCACTGTCAGTGAATAAGTGAGTGTCAAGTCCACCCCATCTCCACCGCGGCATCCGGGACTCCTGAACTGTCTATTTTGCCAACAAGAGCAAGAGAGAACCCAGTTTGCAAGTGGGCAAAGAACCCAAATAGACGTTTCTGATAAAAAGATATACCAAAGGCCAAAAGGTGCATGAAAAGATGCTGCATGTCACTAGTCATTAGGGAAATGCAAGTTAGAAACAATGACACTGCACCTCATGCTCCTTAGAACGGCCACTGTCAAAATACGAGAACGAACCCTGGCGTGGGTGTGGAGAGAAGGGAACCCTTGTGCGGTGTTGGTGGGGGTGTAAGTCGGCACAGGCCTGTGGAAAACAGTGTGGAGGCTCCTCAAAAAATTAGAGATAGAGCTACCATATGGTCCCACATCTGGGAATGCATCCAAAGGAAACAGAAACACTAACTTGAAAGATATCTTCACCCCCATGTTCGTAGTAGCATTATTTACAATAGCCAGGACGGGAGACAACCTCTGTGTTTATCAGGAGAGGATGGATGAAGAAGTTGTGGTCTATATATGTAAATGTATATGGTAGGTATGTTTGCAATATGTGTGTGTGTGTGTGTGTGTGTGCAATGAACAACTGCAATGAAATTTAATTCAGCCATAAAACAAAACAAAAAATCCCCACAAGAATCCTACCATTTTGGGGACAATGTAAATGAACCTTGAAGGCATTATACTAACTAAGCTCAACAAATATTGTATGATTTTACTTATATGTGGACTCTAAAACACAAAACCACCAAAACACCCCCCAAAAAAACCTCATAGAAAAGAGGTCAGGCTTTTGCTTACCAGAGTCAGGGGGTGGGGACAGTCAAAAGATACAAGCTCCCGGTTATCAGATAAGCGAGTCCTGGGGATGTGATGTGCAACAGGGCAACTCTGCCATGACACTGCTGATCCTGTACAACTGACACTGCTGTGTGATATGTAGGGAAGTTAAGAGAGTAAATCCTTAGAATTCTTATCATGAAAAATTTTCCCTTTTTCTTTTTATTGTATCCATATGAAAAGATAGATGTTGGCTGAGCCTACTGTGGTAATCATTTCACAATGTATGTAAATGAAACCATAAAAAATTGACATTTAGGACAAAGTTAACCCATTTTGTAAGCCTCTGGGAACTGTTTAACAGAAACGGCATCAGCTTACACAACAGCAGGCTGACTGCACGCTGTAGGGTCTGCTGATTTAGCGTTTATGCCCTGCAGAGCACTTATGGGGAAGATGGATTCCATCAAGACAATAAAATTAACATCGGCACAGTATTTAGATTTAAAAAATCTCTGGTGAGAAGACAGACTTGGTGGAGATGGCAGAGGAAATGTATGTGCTGTGCACGCACTGTCCACACAAGCCAGTGTGCAGACACGGACACAGGCACACGTGTCCCCCGGGGCACACAGCGCCTTACTCTTTAAATACAGATACAAAGGAAGACAGCTGCCCTGGGAGAGAAAGATTCAGCAATGAATGGTACCCCAAAGTCAAATTCAGAAGAGCCTGAATTTACAAAGGACAATTTGGAGTTTGATTTCTCTCTCTCTCCACCAAGCGCCCCAGGCAGAGACCTGGGAGAGCTGCCGTGAGCAGGAACGCTCGCTGGCTTCTGCCAGTTTCCCCAGGGTCCCTTCTGCAGGGTCTGGGGGCGGGGGCGGGAGCGGGTGTCCCAGCAGGTCTCGTTCCAGTCGTCTGAAGCTGTAGAGGAGAAAAAACAGTTTTCCCTGCATCCTTTATGGTGAGTGCCAGGCTGAGACCCACCTCTCTGTGGCGATTCTAGATAGAGATATGCTCATCTAGGTTGAAAGTTGTCCACTGTGGCCACTCTAATTTGATTAACTTTGATAAGTTGAACCTGCTTGCTTGTTCAGCCCTAACACAAAATTCCACTCACCTGAGGCCTCACGCTGCCCTCCAGCCTTCCTCACACCCAGCTCGACCCTGACCGCCCTGCCCTTGGTTTTTAAGTCAGACCCAGTTCGACTCCTGCAGCTTCCCAGACACAGCCCAGGAAAAGAGGTGTTCAGACAGGCTGAGAGCTCCCGACGCAAAGCTGCAGAGCCAGGATCAGGGGCCCAGAGGGCCTTGGCCAGAACCTCCAGAGGCAGCGAGAAACCGTGCACATGCAAGGGCCCAGCAGGTACCTTCTGGCAGCTTGCTGCTCTGGGGGGCTGTGGGGGTTGCCTATGGTTCCCTCTTCTGAGGCCAGAACTGCTAAAGATAAACAGGAGCAGGTTAAAAATTCTGAGTTTGTCTGAGCAAAAATCGGTTATAACGGGGTAGCATTCCGTCTTGCAGCCAGAAAGTCACTCCGAGGAGCTGTGGAAGGTGAGAGACTCCCATGGGCGGAAGGGCGTGGGAACGGGGACATTTTTCTGGGCGGAAAAGCAAGCTGGTTCTGGCCAAGTTCCTTTCCGAGGGGATGGCAGTGGCCTGTCAGCAGCTGCTCGGGGGGATTCCTGGTTGACTGGCTCAAGGTCTCATTCCTGGGGGAGCTGAAAGTGTGATTCGGCTGGGTCTTGGTTTGGTGATGGGGGCCCTGTTTGAGGCCTGAGGTCGTGTTCATAACAAAGGCTGGGGCACTGTCCTTGTTGAGAAGACAGGCTGGAGGTGACATCCTGGGCCTGTGAAATGGCAGGTGCACAGCCTTCTTCATGTGTCATCTGCATGCATGCGGGTTCCAGGTGTTTTCTGCAGACGCTGTGGGAAGTACAGCTTTTTGGTTACTGTTTTGTTTCTGCACCCGAAGCAAGTTCTTGTTGACCAAGTGTTGCTGTGGACCTCGTGAAAAGTACAACTGGTTGGTTATTGCTTTATTTCTGCCTCTGAAGCAAGTTCTTGTAAACTATCGACCTTAAAATACTGCTTTCACTTAAAAAGAAGCTCAGATCAGATGCCATAATTCTTTCTGCTGAAGGCATCAGTGATGCTGATACATATGTATATATCCATGAGCTCATTAAGTTCTTACAACAATAATTAAACAAAAGGGGTAGATGTGACAGAAACTCTGTTTCCCCGAGCAGCAGGAAGACTAGGTCATGACCCCATGACTCAAGGCCATGTGTAGGTGACCCACCCTGGTGACTGGGGCAGGACCTTTCACTGGGACGGGACAACACGGTGATTATTAGACCAGTGCTCTAGGGCACAGCTGACTTCAACAAGGGCGATTACGTCAGTGGGCCGGAGTCCATGGGCCTGAGACAGGGACCGGGGGCTTCTCGGTGGCCGAAGAGACTGAGGGTCTGGCAAGGGTTCAGCACAGGCGGTGTGCTCCCTTCCTGGCTTTGAGGCTCGAGGGGCCACAGGACAAGGCATGAGCTGCTTCTCTAAGCCGAGGGCAGCATCCAGCTGACAGCCGGCAAGGAAACCTTTCAGTTTCACTGAATTATTCAAAGTTTCTCCATCAGGTTTGTGAAACATTTATTGTAAAGGTCTGCTAGTAAATATTTTTCAGGTTTTGCAGCCACCTACAGCCTCTCTCTGTCACATATTTTCTCTGTCCCTCCCACTCAATTCCTTACTTCTATATATAAAATGTTAAAAAAAAAAAACCCAATAACTTAGGTTAAGGACTGAACCAAAGCAGTTTGTGGGCTGGTTTGCCAGGCCCTGGTGGAAACCATCAATGGAACAAAATAAAGTCAGGCCTGGATCGCGGTGCTTGTCAGTCTCTGCAGTGTAACCAGGTCGTGATTGATCTCAGGCTGCCCACGTGAAGGGTCTCCACCATCACGAGACTTCGGCAGCAGAGCACGTGATTCCGGGTTTCCATGCTCATGCGGTGGGAATACACAACACGTGAGCTCAGGGCACAGCAAACCCTAATGTGTGATTAAGGGGGGGTGAGTTTGAGTGTCTGCTGCCCTTGTTTTTAACCTAATTTGTTAAATTGTGAGTGTCTGCAGTTTACTTTCTTACTAAAGGTTGTGTTTAACGACTAACTCACGCAATTCCTGAGGAGTTAACTGGCTCTCACCAGCCCGTCCTAGTCACCCACCTCCAGCACAACCATGCTCTCATGCCCTTAGCAGAGAGTGAGGTGTGTGTTCCTCGCCCCAGATTTTCCTGTCAGGTCAGGGGGATGGTGAGCCCAGCAGGCGTGACTATGGGCCCCCTTTCACTGCGGAGGGACGGGAATGCTTCACCCAGAAAGGAGGAGCCTAAGTTCCCAGCACAGAGGAGCAACCACTTCAGGCTCCGGCTCCTTGTGCTCCTGTTACTGGGCAGAGGTTCCCCTCTGCTAGTAACCTCATTGAAGCTACTCCTGTCCCCAAGAGTTTGTTACACTGTCTCTGTATTCCCATTAGACAACAGAGTTCCCTTGTCTGAGTGAGGAGACCAGTGCTTAGAGAGGTAAATTTCTTTCCCAACAGCACAGGGCTGGAAGTCTCATAGGCAGCATTGTAAGCCAAGATGTAAGTTATCTCTTTTAACTCCAGGTCCATGGAGATTCTAGATACATCCTGTTGCTAATCATGTCAGTCAGTCAGTCTGTAACCAGTACAGGCCTCCAGCTTGGGGACTCCACGGAGGCGCAGGGGGCTCCTCTCTGGAAATGGTTTTCTGGTAAGGAAGTGCCGTAGCAGTTTGGAGAAGGCAGTGAGCAGGGGGGAGCAAAGGGCCCTGGCTGGGCGGTCAGGGGGAGGGCAGGGGTCGCAGGGTGCCCTCTCTCACCCACACTGTTGAACACAAGTGGGAACTTGAAGTGATGCTGCAGGCTGTAGGATCATGGAAGCACAGAGGGAAAAGCTG